CTAGCCACTGTGGGTCCGCGCAGCGTCGCCAACCAAAAATGGAGGGGAGCTTGAAACAATGAAAAAATCAACAATTAGTGAAAATTTCTCAGCGCTTCGGCTTGTTGAGGGCACCAAATGGTACTCAGGGAAGCTGCATCAGGCTACCTTGTAAGGTCCTGTGAAATCCCTTGACTGATGTGGTTGGCTTACTTGTACCATTCCGTAGCTTCGTAAGAGTTTACAGATCTCACCTATGTGTAACTTGTTGATTAACGTGGACCAGTAAAAGAAGCTAGCGGAAGTGCAAAATGCCCCTCCCAGGCCAAAGAACGGCAATTTTTCTTAAAAATACGACCTGCTCCCCTCCCCCACCCCAGCATCGCAATGCGACCCGTTCTGTATTACACAACGAATGGTGAGCCCTGCTGGCGACATTGTGTCGCCCAACCAACCACATTGATACAAAAAAGTATAAACTCACGATGAGATCGGCGACAGCAAGCGAGAATATCAGGTAGTACTGTGGTCGACCGCGTAAATCTCGTTCACAGGCGATAGCGATGATGACGAATAGGTTACCGATTACACAGAACAGAATCAACAACAACAAAACAGCGGCCAGCGTCACTGCTTCCATAAAAGGACGTAGCGAATCGTCCGAGGCGGCGAGTGATGGCGACAAATTGTCGCCAGCTGTCGCCGCTGTTGACATCGGATTGTTGTTGTCGTACCATAAGAGGCCGAGTGATGTCGTCTCGTTGTGTTCGCTTAGCATTTTGACGGGCTACTGCTGTAGTTCATCTGAAAAGTTCTAGGATCATTCGAGGAGTTCTGTCTGGCGCGCATGGGAATCGATCCCTATATGGGAGAAAAACGTGCGTTGAGATATGTGTGATGAGAGGATGAGTGTTAGTTAAGGAGGCGGCATTGATGTGCGAATAAATGGCCAACGATGACGAGTAAAGGAACGAGCCGCCCATGCATTCCCCCTCTACGCCGACCGAAACATAGCAGAGAGCAATGGAGCTTCTCAGCACTCTCAGCACTCAGCAGCAGCAGCTTGCCCGAAGCAAGAGATAAGGGAAATCAATAAGTAGTAATTTGAGAAGAGATCCCCAAGAATACAGGCGAACCTCCGGAGTGCAAAATTCGTCAGAGGCAGTTCTCTTTTCACTTCGATCAGCCAAAAGTGCTCCAGGGGGGACAATACATTTTTACGCCTTCACTCAAGAACAAAATAAAAAGTTTTGCGTATTGCGTATATGGTGAGAATGGCAATTTTTTATATTTCAATGGTGTTTTTGATGCTGCCCGTGAAGGCAGGAAATTTAATGAGCTCGTGGGGAGACGTCGTTGTACTATAGGTATAGAAGTCCTAGAAGGATTTCTCAAAACGCGTTCAGCCTCGCATGAAGAACGCCTATTGCGAAGAAGACAGTACTAAGGGCACAGGAAGTCCCGTCTATCAAACAGTAAAACCAGAGCATGTCGTAAGTTGGGGGATAAAGACCATATTTGGTCGCTAGAGGAAGATAGAACTCATTTGGCTTGAGAGAAATTCCTTTGCTAATTGATTTTTCCTGTTCCACTATCGTTCGGTATCCTCATCACTGGCCTTGCTAAGAAGGTCCCTATAGAAATTTTTTTTGAGCGTGACATCTTTTCCGATTGCTGACCCCCCTGCTCCTTCTTCGGGCGGGGAGCGAGAGAGTCAAAATAACTCCTGGACAACTGGGATCAGGGTACAGCATCGTTGTGTGAAACACATAGGGGGTCGTACTTTTCCGCTGGGGAGGGGGGTCGTATTTGGTGGTTGTTGGGATAGGGAAGTAGTATTCGGCAGTGGTTGTGAGAGGGGGTGTGTGTTGAAGAGGGGGCTTTGAGAGGAATTCGCCGTGTTGGGAAAAAAATTGTTCCTGATTGTTGACTTTTCGCGTGATTTTTCACGTTTCATGTGTACTATATGCCCCGCCAAATCTTTGAGTGCAAAACTGGAAAATGTAGAAGGTAGGTGTTGGGGAAGAGAAGGGGGGCGGTACCAAA